TCATGACAGGGATCATAGCAGTGAGCATGGTAGAGAGAAAATAAAGGAGTTTGCAGAATGTTTAGCAGGGTGCATTGCAGGAAGCATAGGAAACATTGCGGGGAGCATAGCAGAAAGCAAGGCAGGAAACGACAGGGGATGTGGCAAGGAAGTGTAACCTGTTGGGTTCCCAGCTAGGAGAGTTTCTCAACTCTTTTGACACTTAGAGAGTTGTCTGATGGGGACATCCAGACATTTACCCAGGGGAGGGTGTAACCCTCTGGGTTCCCAGAAATGTGTGTTATTGTTGTTTTAAAAATGACAAGGCTAACAAATTTAATGTTTTTATAATAATATCCAAGACTTGTGTTGATCCTGCAGGCAGCATAGCAGGGAGCGTGGCAGGGAACACACAGGGAGCATGGCAGGCAGGAGAAGTGGCAGGGATCACACGGGGAGCATGGCAGGGAGCGTGGCAGGGCGCATGGCAGGGAACATGACTCACGGGGAGCATAGCGGGAAGCATGGCAGGGAACACCCAGGGAGCATGGCAGAATGCAAGGCGGGGAATGAGGCAGGGAACATGGCATAGAACACACAGGGAGCATAGCAGGGTGTGTGGCAGGGAGAAATGATTTAGCAAAGATGAGAATATATTTTAAACCAACACCAGTATTCAAAGTTATCTTACCTTACAGACAGAGAGAGCGTTGAGCTGCTAAGATTGAATAGTGTTCAGGGCGGATATAGGATTTATAGGCTGAAAAAGTCTATCGGCCCAACTGCTGGAGAGAAGCCACAGAGACACCATGAGCAGCTGCTTTGTGGCTGCCCCTATCCTAAATGAGTGGCTGGAATAATGACTGGATGAAAAGCCACAGGATTCTAATAGTATTCTGAGATGGTCTTGGAACCAGCGTGGTGACGCGGGAAAACCCTCGGGCATGACAAAGGGGCTTTGAAATTAGGGAAAACTTTTGGCGCTTTTGGACAAATTAAACATTGTAATAACGGGCAAAAGGGGCCATCTGTACGTGCGATAAAAATAGAACAAGGGCCTTTCCTTTAGAATGATTCAAGATATTGTAATGATCGATGTGGAAAAGAAGATCCGAAAGAGACGAATGTGGGGAAGGATCGAAACGACTATTAGTTGAAGTGAAGCTAATCCTGATTTATGTAGAAACTGGAGGAAGTAAGTACGAACGAAGAGAGTGGGTTAGTTGAGGATGAGTTCTTCTAGCGGAGGAACGGGGTCGGAAGGAGATCGGCAGAAGGACGAAGATGTGGAAGGTCTGAAATTTGAAATGAGGGGGAGCATCAGCAGCTTGGTTAGAAAGACCAGGAACGTGTCGAGCAGAGATGATGCAGTTGTTAGAGACTGCTTGCCAAGTTATGCCTCTAATGAATGGCATGAGAGATTGAGAGGAGGAGCGACCTTATAGATCGCGTCAACAACTGCCATGTTGTCGCAGAAGCGGATATGCGCTTTCTTCTCCAAAGCGGGCCCCGCAGACGGCAAGCTACAGCTAAAGGTAAACCTCGCATAGCACAGATGACTGAGAACCAGTAAAAGAGGGAGGCCACGAACCAGCAAACACCTGTCCTGAAAGAACCCCCCCAAAACCTACGGATGGGGCAGCATCCGTGAAAAATTTAAGCATGTCAGCGTTTGAATGATGTCATCAGAAAATGATTTGCCGTTCCATTACAATGAAGTCTAGCCCAGAAGAAAGGATCGGAATGGCAACCTTCGTCCAGAGAAACCTAATCTAAGAGAGAGGGAACAGAGTTAGCTAGGTCAAGCAGTCGGGAAATTAAGGAACGACCATGATGCGCACAGCAAAATAAGGTGACCAAGCAAAGAAGCAACTGACGTTTGGAAATAATTGATGCAGAGCTATAAGACTGAGAAATCTCACGAATCCGAGATATCTTGTCTGCGGGCAGGGATGCCATCATGGCCACTGAATCGAGAGCTATGCCTAGAAACACAATTTGTAACAGGGCCGATGGTTTTTCTTCGGACAGGGGAACACCAAGTTGGTTAAGAGCTTTTAGTTTAAGGAGTGACGAACTGGGCTAATGGAGGGAGGATCTATGCGTAGGAAACCATCCTGAGATTAAGAATGCATGGCAAATGAGTAACATTAAGGAGAATCCAACACAGACAAGGACTGCTCCTGCAGCCAAAGGTGAGTCGGACAGCAAAATAGAACACGGACTTCCATTTAGCTCCGAACAGGTGCCATTGAGAAGGGTGAATGAAAATAATTTTGAAAGCATCGAAAATGTCTGCTTTGGCCAGCCAGGCCCTTTGGCCGGTGGTCTTAATGAGAGAAATAGCGTGGTCTACTGAAGCGTAGTGAAGAGAGAAGGAGGAAAGAGGGAAGAGGCTATTTATGGAGGAGTGACGGCCAGAATGAGGGGCAGATAAGTCCAATATGAGCCTCTTTTCCCGGAATATAGCAGGTAGCTACCACTAGGGGGTTCACACGAAAGGGAGCAAACAGAGAATGTTTTGAAAGGACCAGTCATGAAACTCTTGGACACAACTTGTGAAGCAGCTGGTCTACGACGTCTGGTTGTTTTAAAGCGGACTGGAGATTAGGGGAGACGTGGGTGAGGGAGGGGGGGTGTAGACTCCGACATGAAAACCTTGAGGCAGACCGGTAAGAATGAACTTGACGAAAGTGCGGTCGGGATGATGGGTAAGACAAATCGCCCATTCAGAAATAATGATGGGCGTAGAAGATGACGGGCTATTAATGTTTGAAGGTACGATTTCTCATGAACAGAACACGACGGGGAAAGACGGACTTGGGATGCACATCCTAGCAAAGCTGCAAATGTGGAGAAACTGCAATTAGGAAAGGTGCATGTACTTTCATTAAACTTATTACGGATGGGTCTGGAATTGAATATCTGGACGTTTCTACCAGAGTCTGTGGGCTGGGCAAGTGTAGAAGAGAACGGAGGAGGAATAGATTGAATGCTAGACTTAAAGGGTATAGATGGGCAAAATGCGCTGAGGTGACCGGTTGAAAGACAGGCAGAACAGGGGATGGACTGGGTCAACATGATTAAAAGATGTGTGTCCGAGACCCACCAGTCCAGACGAACTCCGGATTGGGCCAAGGTTGCAGCTGGTTTAGTAGCAAATGATTGAGATATTGATAAAAGAGGTTATTGCCGAATTTGATATGAAGATCTGCTATTAATGCGAGATAATTGTCTAGCTCGACCCTGCGGTCTGATAAACTGAGCAAAGAGTGTCTCGGTAGATGCTGAACGCTGCTAGAAATTGGCCAATGGCGAGGTCTTTGGATAAGCGGGGATCGGATTATTTGAAAACAGCTGTAATGTCACCTGCTGAGGCGACTTGATGTTCAACTTCACAGGAGGGGAGGATGAGTGAAACTAAATTAACATTTTTCCCTTGTATAATATTGGAACAGGCAAGGAGAAACATTAGAATACATAGAAATATATGAACTGCCTGGATGAAAAGGGCGGGGACGAAGCATAATGAGCAGAATGAAAAGGCAAAATAAAGGCAAAATAAAATACTAAAAGAATAATCTGGTAGGAATTGTTTTGATCAAAGATCATTTGTATAAATGTTTTGTTGTACTCTTTGAATATATATTGTTTTAAAATATGAATACTCTTCTACTTTAGATAAATAATTTAAGTTTGAATTAATAAGTTGAGGCATTGAGTGTGAAATAATTTTTCAAATTTAAAAGCTCAATTCAATTAACTGCAAACTGTCATTACATGCTCATTATACAGAGGTAGTTGTTGCACAGTTGGTTATTTGATTTGTTTGTTTTGATAAAAAACCTATTAAAAATGAACCGTAAACGTACTTAACTTTAGTGACATATAAGTGAGTCAGGTTAGAATGGATGCATAGGACATTTGATCAGTCTATAAAGAGGTTCAATTGATTATATATTCTTTGATACATAATCTGATTTACATTTGTTATTTAGATCAACTTCTATAAATATTAGTGAATAAAAAAATAAAAAGTTGTGATCTTTGACATCTGATGACAGATTATTTTGTGCTACCTATTTATTTGTTGCTGTGTGGTTATAGCCACATGTGTTGCTCGTTTGCTCCATGTTTCTACTTATCTCTACTGTATGTGTTTATTGTTTGTGTTTCTCCTTAGCTGTGCTCCACTTAATATTTGTATTATGCTCACCCTAAATCTCATGCTCAAGAGATTGTGTTGGTAATTTGCAAACATCGGTCTCATTTGGATAGAGTGGAATGACTCAGGGATAAATGTTGCCTATCTGACCAAACAAACAGCCTTCTGAAAGGTTTCAGCTACAAAGAACACAACAGTCCGGCTGTGTCTGTGCAGAGCTCTTTATTTAAAGCTGTTGCTCCCTGTGGGGGGTTAAACCTTGGAGCTGACCCATTTAATTTTTCTCAAGCTATCAATATTTAAAAACATTTTAAATAACACCTCTTCCTACAGGAAACAACTCCAAAACAAAAATTTTACATTTACACATTTTATCTAAGTTAATCAAAGAAAAGGCATGCGCAGGACAGATCGTGCTTCCTGGATTGATCAGGTAGTGACAGTCCATTCTTGAGATTGACAGCTGTCCCAGCATGCACTGCGGCAGCACCAGCTTCCAAAGGAGCTCTCACAGAGCTCAGCGTGTTAAGTTAAAAGCTCTCTTTTCTGTTGTTGGTGTTCTATAAAAGTATGTTTTAAGGTCATTTGAAGCAAGCACTATGTGGCCCAGTGCATAATAAAAAAAAAATTAAGAGGTTGAGATCACCGCGGCAACCAGCGGACCTCCAAGTCTAACCGCAGCTAGAGCTAACCTTAGCTGGTTTGTAGCAGCCCTCTCTCGGCATAGCTGTGTGTGAAGTAGCCTACCGCTGGCTCTGATGGAGACTTCTTTTTGTTTTACTTGGCAAAATGTTAATTCGATTTTGTTATCTGACTGTTTCAATTATTATTCCCCCACTAAGTGAAAAAAGTAAATTTTTTTATTATCTAGACTCTAGATAATAAAAAAAAAATTACTAGATTCTAGAGACTATTGATAACAGGAGGTGAAATGCAGCTCGAGACTAACAGAGCGTGTGGTGACGCCATGACTATTATTCAATGCAATTCAGTTTATTTATATAGCACCAATTCAACACATGTCATCTCAAGGCACTTTACAGTTCAACCAGATCATACAGTCAAATTGATTCAAAGTTTTTCATCTAAGGAAAACCACTTGATTGCATCAACTCATTGACTCAAATGCAATCCCTCACCCTAAGCATGCTTGTAGCAACAGTGGAGAGGAAAAACTCCCTTTTCACAGGAAGAAACCTCCAGCAGAACCAGGCTCAGTGTGAGCGGCCATCTGCTGAGGCCGACTGGGGTTCAAGGAGACAGAAGCAGAGATACAAAAGCAACTGCAAAAGGGGCCCCAGTCAGGGAAACGCACAGCCAGGCAGATGAGCTCTGAGCCAGCTCCCATGTCAGAGGATGAAGAGAGCACATCCAGCCAATCACAGTCAGAGAAACAGGACTACACTGGAAAACAGCCTCTTCTGTTTCAATTGACTCATATGTATGCTGCCTACTCCTGTTCTCCCAAGGTCCGTACTTTCCTGTGTTCCTCTCAAGAACAGACTTGGCGAGGACACAAGTCTGTACTCGCGTTCTTGTAAATTGAGAAACGGCCACAGACTTGCGACCCTACAGTTCTTCTACTTAAGGTAACACTGAGGACCTCATTTCAATGACCATCCAATCACAGACTCGATTCAGCAGCGCATCAGATGTGTGTAATATAAGCTTCTCAGAAGTGTAAAAACAGCCTATCAAACAAGAAAAGGCAGAGAGCCAATCATCTGCCAGAGGGCAGTCTTAAAGGAAGACGGTTTTAGCTTAAGTGTCTGTTCTCAACTTGTTTGCAGGACTCTCACTGCAGAGTGAAATTGTTTTGGGACAGTACAAAGTGCAGGGGGCCAAAGTGGATATTGGAAAAGTGCAGGGGACATGCTCCCTGTGTCCTCCACCAAAATTACCTCCATGCCTGTCTGACTGCTCTAGCTCATGCCAATTCTCTTAAGTGAAAGAAAAACCTACAGAGTCTGCCATATTGTAAATGTAATTCCCTTTTATGTTCCACAATGGGGAAATTCACTCTGCACTTAACCCATCCCTTTGGGAAGCAGCGGGCTGCCATTGTGTTGCGTCCAGGGAGGGTTTTGCTCAGGAACCCAGAGTGGAGGCTGTGTGGATTGAACCGGATAGTTGTCACCTTCTCAGAATACCAGCTCCCCACATATTAGACTGTTTCTTAGAAAATCTAAACACTCAGCACATATTCAAAATATTTTTATATACTTGTGTGTGTGATAATCATGAGATAAATAGTTGTTACTTATTAATAATAATTAAGAAGATCAAGTAGTATCAAAAATGATACAACTGCATAAAATCAAATACAAAGAGCAGAAAAATAAAACAACAAGCCGGTCCCATCTAGGCGTAATTGGAGACAATGACACATGAAGTGAACTCCTGATGTCCAGTCTGCTCCGTAGCTTTGTTTTGGTCGCTGTAACCGCAGAAAATCCCGCTTCACAATGATAGAATGTTATAGATAGGATGAGTCTTGAACTGAATTAACCTGTATCAAGAGGCACAGATGCACCGACTGATGTAATCGGGAGAGAATACCTAAATTTTTTACATTTTTTAAAATAAAACATCACTCAGACTCTGATCATCGATAAATTATATATCTATATATATACTTTTTTCTGTGCGGCCCGGTACCAAATGACCCATGGACAGGTAGTTGGGGACCGCTGTCCTAAGGGATAAAAATATATGCAAGCATCAGTTTATATTGCTGTCTGTGATTATGCAGTCGGCCAGCAGGTGGTATCAATGTGCACATGAAGCTCAAAGAAATGCACCCTTTGCTGAGGTTTGCAAGTGGCTCAATGTCTCATAGGGCTTTATTTTACCATCACCAGAATGCAGATAGACAGTTTGCTTTCATAGCTTTGCTTCTTTAACATATTTTTTTAAATCTATCTATGATTTTAGTTGAAAGGGATTTTTTTCTTCCTGGTTTGTCATTAACAGGGTGTGGCAGTTAAAGGGTGAAACATTATCCAGCTATTGCTTAAGATCACTTGAAGCATAACAAGAGGGCAGGGGAGTAGTGCTTGAAAGAGTTATGCTAAATAAGTTTCTGTTTTAATACTGATTTAGAAAAAGTAAAAAAATTCTGTCATGTATGCAAATGCATGAGCACAACTGTGTGTTATGTTTTACTCAAAAATATTATGTCAAACAGAACAGTTTTAAAATTTGCATTTTTACTTTATTGATCTGTAGATACAGTAGTAAGTTAGGTTTTGTTTTCTCTCAGCCCAGCAATCTGTACTTTTCTAGGGAAATGAAAATGACTAAAGACTCCACCCACCAGAATAAAAAGTGAAGCTGAAGTATAGCTCTCGTGTTTGCAAAAGAAAGGAGTGCTCCATTTCCCCCTTATTTCTACTAGAGTTTCCAAACCTTTAGGAAGGAAATCTTTAACAAGGTACAGTAGGCCAACTTTTCTGTGTTATTTGATCACAGCTTCATTTTCATCAAACTAATCATTTAGTTGTACACTTCTGTGATTTACTGCCTCATGAAATTCTGTCTTAATACATTCATTTTTATTTTTACTACTTTTTCTTAGAAGAGGACTGATCAATCGTTTGAGGATGTATTGATGAGCTTACACTCAACAATGGATAACCCTGAGGAGGAAAAGGTAAACAAGGATTACAACCAAGTTATGAGAATATAGTTTAATGAACCTATGCACAGTATAAGGATACAGACCCATGAGTTAAATGTTTTTTATACCTTTCGGATTTATAAAGTTTTTTTTTTTTATTAATTGAAGATAAAGTTATTGTTTGGATTTTGATGTAGGTGTTATAGGTTGCAATAATATAACTTAAGTAAAATTCTGTGTCAGTTTTGGAATTGTTATGATTGAGATGATTGCTTTATGAAAAAGATTTATTTTCTATTTAAGATTAGGTTTGGCCACAGTAAATCTGAGTTTATGATTACATGAAGTAAGCAAAGATCTTTGGAAGTACTGTAGTCAACAAAGATGCAAGTGGTTAACTTCAAAATATGTGGTTTTCTTTTTATAAATGTACCTAAAAAGTTGGTATTTAACCTTAAATATAAAATACAAAAATATAATTTAAAATACCAAGCTGTTTTTTCTGCATCATAAAGAGGTGAGTGAAAAATTGTTTCAGTTTTATTTCTATTTCTTTTTAACAAATAATTATAATACATTAAAACAGACTGCTGTAGAGAAATACAGCCATATAATATTGGGCTGCATTCCTGTGTGGGGTTGGACTACGATCAATCCTAGCCATTTTGGTGCAGATTCAAAGATCTACATGGAAATGAGAGCCAAACATATGGTCATGGCAAAGCTCCTCACTTCGCCATTCCGCCATGGCAACATCTTTTAACTAAAACTCACTGTGCCTTGACCAAAGCCAGAAGAACATCTGACCTAGTTTGAAGTTGATGAAGTTAGAAGTGTGAGAAAGGTATTTTTAATAATATGGAAGCAGTTGTTTTCAACCTTAATTTAACAGTTTATTTGCAATATATGACTTTTTTCCATACTGCTTCAACAGAAAAGTAAGAACTTGGGTATGGGAAACTTAATGCTAAAAAAGATGATGGCACTCAGCAAAGATTTCAGACACTCTGCTTGGATTTGCATATGGAGTATGCAAATCTAGCATATTTTCATTCTCACAGCTCATTTCTTCATGTTTATTTCACAGGAAATGAAACTCTGAGTCACTGTACCTGTTTCAATGGGGGGCTGGGTTATTGTTTTACAATATGCTTATGTTTTATTATCAGGTCACTCATTAAAATGAATAATTATTTTCTAATTTACTTTTTAGTTCTTTGATGCAGCGGTTGCCTTTATAGAACCTGACTGTAATCCAGAAGGGAACTCTATCCCTTTGCCAGCTGACAGTACGTATATATTAAAGAAAGTTTAAAACCGTAGCCTTCATGAATTTATTTTATTTTCAAATTGTAATTAATCTAAATGGTTTTTTTTTCTTCTGCCAGATGTTCCTCCACCAACCAAAGTGACTGTTCACTGTGTTGGTCCCAACACAGTTTCTTTTGGTGTTGAGCCAAATGTTTCCCCAGATAAACATAAACTTCAAATAGAATACACCAGTGACACGCACTCAGGGAGCTTGAAGATTAAAAACTGCAACACCGCTGATGTTGTAGGGTTGATTCCTGGGACACAGTATATGTTTAGTATCACAAGGAT